TAATTTCAACTTCCTGTAAACTACTTGAGCATATCATACATAAGCATATTTCAGAATTCCTAGATAAGCACAATATTTTGTCAGGTTCACAACACGGATTCAGGAAAGAATTTTCTACTTGTACTCAGCTGGTAACTACAGTTCATGATTTCGCACTATCTATAAATTCCGGAAAACACGTAGATGCAATTTTTATGGATTTTGCTAAAGCTTTCGATACGGTCTCTCACAATAAATTACTCTTCAAATTGGATTTAATTCTTAAGAATACTCAGCTTCTAAATTGGATTTCCGGTTATCTTTCGAATCGAAAACAGTACGTCTTTTTCAATGACCATTGTTCTCGTACAGTACCGGTTGACTCGGGTGTTCCCCAAGGCTCTGTGCTCGGACCCCTCCTCTTTTTATTGTTTATAAATGATATATCACATGATATACTTGTAAAAGTTAAGTTATATGCGGATGATTGCATCCTGTACTCGGAAATAGAAAACCATACTGATCAAATTCATTTAAATGATGCATTTCAAAAGGTCATTCGTTGGTGCGATAAATGGCAGATGTCAGTTAATTTTAAAAAGACCGTTTTCATGAAAATTTCTCACAAACGTAACATTCTTCATTTTGCATATTCAGCCAATAATGTTTTTTGCAGGAGGTACAACACCGCAAGTACCTTGGTCTTTGGATTTCGAATGACCTTAACTGGACGAGACATATTAACACTGTAACAAGTCGTGCAATTACAAATTATTTTATCTTAGACGAGCTCTTAAGCACTCCACTCCCGCCGTTCGCCTTGTTGCATTTAATGCAATCGTTCAACCTACTTTAGATTATGCATCCATGATTTGGTACCCTTACACCAGAAAAAAATATCAGCGAAATGAAAAAAACTCAAAAGAGAGCTGTTAGGTTTATTTATAACAGTTTTGGTCGTACTTCAATAAAGTTTATTAGCAAAAGCTAACCTCCCAACACCTACACAAAGAAATAAAGTATTGAGATTGAAATTTTTCTTTCAGTTGGTTAAAGGTTATTTTAAGTTAGACTTATCACATATACTTCATTTGTCCACAGGATATACCACAAGGCAGAGGCATGCCTTTATAATAACCCCCTTTTCCACCCGTAATAACACATTCAAGTAATCGTTCTTCCCTAGGACAATTACAGAATGGAATAACCTTAGTAACGAAGTTGTTTCCCAGTCATCCTTGAACCTTTTTGCTGCGCAGCTCTAGCAGCGAGTGTCTAATTTCTATGACATGTGCTCCTGTTGTTTATTTCAATCACTGTAACCATTCTCCACTTGTGATCATCTTGAATTTAGCGCTCATTTCACTATATGTTCTTATGCCGGTTTATTACAAACCAGTGTTCTTTTTTTTTTCGTTCTGAAAGTGTGTAAATGCCTTACCTGTTTTATATTTATTTGTTTGCTGATTTGTAAATTTATCAAATGTATATCCACCCTGCCAAAACCCTATGTTAGGGTTGCAGTATTCATAAATAAATAAATAAATAAATAAATAAATAAATAAATAAATAAATAAATAAATAAATAAATAAATAAATAAATTGGAAGTTAGCGCCTGTGTCGTGCGTCCTATTTTTGTGTCCCCATTTCTTAGTGCTTTTTTCAGTCATCAGATCAAGAAAAAAAGTAGTTTCGGAAGAACTTGGAGCATTGAAGTAAATGGAAAATAAGCAGGTTGCAAACGGAGGAGGCAAGGCAAGGTAACCATCATGTGCATTCATTGTCACAGCAGCAAAGTCTTGATGTGGGTGATACTAGAGCACCTGCACATTTCGTTTTTTTTTCACTTATTTACAAATAGTTTAGGCCCTATTCGGGGACAAGCAAGAGTGGGTACATAAATGTCAATGAGAATAATAAAAAAAATCAATAGAAGGTACGAAAGTTACAAAAATTTACAATATGAATGAGGAATGTTATAAATATATAGCAAACAAAAATACAATTCGTAGCATCAATAAGCTTTAGGTGCGTGTTAATGAACATTGGTAAAAATCGAGCTTGAGTGTCTACAATGGTATGCTTTATAATCATAAAACCATCAAATTCATTAAGTTTTTAACAGTAGAAAAGCAGGAAGATTAACTGAATCAAATATTCATTTTGTTGATATTCATGCAAACATTCAGTCATGCTGATGTTCATCATTTGTTTATTTGCTTTTTATTACAGAACGCCTACAGCTCATTGGACTTGAAAGGCAAAGGTCCCCGAAATTCAATGGAGATCGCTGCAGAGTTTGAAGACTTGTCAGTGGAGGTCCTGTATGTCATCGCTGGTGTGGCAGCCCTTGTGCAGATATATTATGCATTTAATGTGTAATATGCACCGCACAACCAAAACACATTCGCTGTGCTGGAACACATCTGTGGGCATCAACATTGCCGCAAGTGAAGCGGTTAATCACAGCTATCAAAAAAAAACATACCAAACGATTGGGATGCCTGAAAGAGTCGCTTTTGAATAAATGTTTCATTCAAAATCTGCATTTTTATTTTTACTGCCATGCTAAACATTTTTTAATACTTGGTATGAAGATAATCGCCACTCATATTTTTTCTCCAACCTATATTTCTGTGAGTTAAGCTGACGCATGTTCTTTATTTATATTAACATGCAGTTTTTTATTTTATTATACTATTTGCAACATTACTCAACTTCATGAATTAATGTTGCCAAGCGTCACTAGTTTGCATCCTTACTTGGCAAATAGCAAACATTTACTGTGAAAGTTTATATATTCTACCTTCCTGCTTGTATTGTAACAAACCTAGTAACGTTCTTGTTTGTAAACTTACCAGCTTAGCTTACTACCTTCCAGTAAGTAGTAACAGGACCTAGTAACCATCATAGTAGTACATTTACAAACTTTATGTTACTACCTTCTAGTAGGTAGTAACTGCAGCTAGTAAATGGCATGGTAGTAACTTTGCTACCTTACAATTTACTACCTACAGTTACTACTTCGGTAGTGAATGTTGTGACAGCAATTTACTTCCTCAAAGTTAGTAAGTAGCACCACCTTTCTCTTTAAGAGTGTGGATCGGATGAGTAACGATGTGGGTTCAACCTAGCGAATGGTTGTTGCAATCAAATATGTCTTCGTAAGTCATCAAAACGCGACGGAGGGCATCGGCGTAAGAAGGTCGTAGGTCGGGAGCTATCATTTTGTTGAACTTCTCATTAGATGGCGTCGTCAGAGCCAAAGGTTGAGCAAATGCTGATGGTTGTTTATGGCTTAGTTCACATACTCTGGAGTCATCCAAAGGGGACAACACAGCAAGAGATACGCCCTCAGAAAGAGCTTGTGGTGACGAGCCAAAGTTCTCGAGAGGAAGCCAAGCACGGTTGATGGTGAGCGTAATGATGGAGCTAGGGAGCACCATTCGACGTCCGAGTGTGGCGGCATAGAGTGGAGACACGATGTAAGTACCATTCTGAAGTGGTGGGCAAAGCGACATGGGGACATAAGTCGCAGCGCCAGGTTGCAACTGAACAAAGTCAATGGAGTAAAGTCTGGGCTGGACATCTGCGCAGGCGTACGCACAGCACTGGGGTAGCTCAAGACTCAAAATCCCGGTTGAACAGTCGATAAGCGCAGAATGAACAGTCAAAAAGTCCATTCCAAGAATCGCCTCATGAGGGCACTTGGCAAGTACAGTGAACAGAACTAACGTTGAGTGGTCGGCGATGGTGATACGCTTGCGGTGCACATTCCCACGACGGCAGTTGTGCTGCGGTTGGCTACTCGTAGGACAGGTGATTCGGTGGGTGTTAGCACTGTGTTTGCGAAGGCGGCTACGAAGGTCAAAGCGCATGACCGACACCAGAGCTCCAGTGTCAATGAGGGCTTTAATGGGCACATGATCAACAAAACTTCGATCAGGTTTTGTTTATTGGCGAGGGTCAATAGAGGTTTTACAGTCAAAGTCGTCAATGCAGCCTCACCTCCCAGGGCTGCGTTGGTTAGTTTCCTGAGGAACGCCCTGAGTAGGATGGGGACGGGGGTCGCCAATATGTAGACGACCGGGACTGACGGCGCTGCGGAGAGGGTGAACGGCTAGTGACGAACCGGGGAGGAGCGGAGCGTCAGCATAGGACGATTCGGCGTGTGCCAACAGAGGGGGAGCTGAGCGTTCGTAACGACGGTCAATATATATATAGGTCGAGGCGAGAAATTCCAGCGGTTATGGCAGTGGCGGGCGATATGGCCGATCAGGGAGCACACGAAGCAGATTAGTCTGTCATCCGGCGTTCACCACTCAGATCTGTTTCGGTACCGTATTGCGTAATACTGTCGGGGCGTAGCAGAAGCAATGCTCGGGGCGCTCGTGCTGGGACGTGGGCTACCGGTGGATGGTATGTCTATATTCGCAATTTCTTGGCGAACAACAGCTTGAAACAGCGAGATTGTCAGGTTGTCATGCGTGTGGGGATCACGAGAGTTCAAAGCCATAGCCCCAGGTTCACGACATATGGCTTGCGTCAAACTTGGTAATACTGGTTGATGCAGCGGCGCTGGTTCATTACAGGACGAGGTCGGAGCCGTATTAGGAAGCCGGTCGAAGTGTTGCACGATGCACTTGTCTTTTGCTTGCTCAAAGATGCGGCACTCTTTTATGAGAGAGTCAACTGTTGTGCAGCACTTGCATAAAAACAAGTTGAACGCATCGTCCGCGATGCCCTTCATGATGTGTCCGACCTTATCTGCCTCCGACATGCTCTCATTGGCTTTTTGGCAAAGTGCCAGGACATCCTGAATTCGGTGGACGTCTGGGCACGAGAGGCGAGCTCCTTCTGGGCTTCAGCTTGGCGTCCGATTGGTTTCCTGAAAAGATCTCGAACCTTCTCTTTACAGATGTCCCAACTTGTCAGTTTGGCTTCGCGCGTCTGAAACCACGCCTTTGCAGTGTCCCCCTGGTAAAATATCACGTTTGCCAGCATAAGTGTTGGGTCTTACCTGTAACTGTTGGTGATGCGCTGGTACATCGACAGCCACTCATCGAAGTCAACCTTGCCAGTGCCGGTGAAGACTCCCAGGTCAAGTATCAGAGGAATCACGTATTGCACTGCATTGTGCCTGAGCGGCCGGTACGCTTCCGTCGGCCATAGCAGCGGAACCGATGTGAAGTCCGCTGTGGAGATCCAGCTCCGACTTCCGTAGAGATGTACCCAGCACCTTCACCAAAATAATACGCGTACAGTTGCAGTTGAAGTTGCATACGCCCTCAGGCAAGTGCGACACAATCGGTTCTGCGCCTGAGACACTTCAACGTCTTCTATGGCTTGAAGCGTCCGCTAGTCAACGCTGGCACTAACTCCTATGTAACATTATGATTAAGAAAGATGCCGTAGTGTGACACTCAAGAAATAATTCCACTATGCATCTAAATTTGCCACTTTGCACCTAATGTGCACCTAACTGAATGTGCACGGGCCTCGAGCATTTTCGCCCACGTTGAAAATACTACAGTGATTCGATTCCGCGACCTGCGGGTCAGCAATAGAACACCATAACCACTGGACCATCGTGGCGGGTAGTAAAAAAGACGGTTTGGGTAAGATCACTATGCGTCCAGCTGCAAGGGCGCATGTTCAGATTAAGATATATTGCTTAAAATCACTTTCACACCGTGGCAGAGTGATTCCGTTCTCTCCCGTTGCCTATACTCCTTGCTTTTTGGTGGCACCTTCAGTTGCAGACGTGGTTCATCGATACAAAAGGTGTGACCAGCTATGCAACAACCCATGTTTGTATGTAACAATTCTCGCAAATTTTGGGTAGGATACTGGAATATAGTATAATATGATATGGCCACCTCTTGCTCAGGGGTAGACACAATTGGGGTGTCCGAGCCTGTTTTGATGCGTAGCAAGAACTGATCACCCATGATTTTCCTTTGGCATGCCTCAATGAGCGCGTCAGCCAACATGGGATTTTTCAGGACTCGCATGGGCAGGCCCTGGTGTGGTCGTATTATCACTTCGAAATCGTCCCGCGGCAGCGGCGGCAGTTTACGGAATTTTCTGGATCTACGGGGGAAATGTGACATATCAAATCAAACTTTATTTCGTCCACAAGTGTGTGTGTTGTAGAACAGGAGGGCTCGAGAAAAAAGTGGATTTATCCACTTGAGAATCCTCGAGCCCCCCGTTTTACATGGCATACAGCGAGAGCATGTAAGTGATTATGCAGTACTGATATAATACAAATACTTATACTAACACAGTATTACAATATTTACAACAAACACTATACAATACAAAATGTGCACACCATCTAATGGTAAATCATTCGCATAATCATGAGATCGCAATCAGCATTTCTTCATGCAAAAAAAATAACTGAAAAAAGACAAAAAGAAGAGAAAACAGTTAAAACTTGAAAACTCGTTGAACAGAATCTATACTTTTTTACAAAAAGAAAGAGCATCAATCCTTGGCGGCAAAGAATGCTTTGATTGCACTGTTCCCAGTTGTCTCTAAAATGATTTCACATTGATGGAGTTCATTTAACAACTTTGGAAGCGTATGACGAAGCATTTGTTTTGTTATCATAATGCGTGAAAAAGGTATTTTCCAGATATCATCATTTCGTGAATTATATGACCTTGTGAGTGGTGTCAACTCAGAAAATGTACGAAGTAGTCCGTCTTTATCGTGCTTGTATTTTCTGGCTAGATTTAATGGATACAAATTGTGTACGGACGTGATGTTATATTTGATAAACAGGGCTTTTGTGTGCACAGTTTTTTCCACGCATGCAATGTGGCGAAGTGCTTTCTTTTGTAAAACAAACAGGTGGTTCAGATTTGTTAACGCTGTTGTGCCCCAGACTAGACAGCAATAATTTAAGCGAGAAAGAAATAGTGCATTATAAATATGAAGCTTGACAGCTGTTGGCAAGTGGAATTTGAATTTCGCCAGAATTCCTACTACCTTTGCTACCTGTGTAACAACATGATTTATATGAATGTCCCATGATAGATGCTTTTGAAAAAATACACCAAGTGATTTTACTGAGTCAACAATCTCGATACGTGAATTTCCTAAAGTAAGATTCAGAGTGGGTGCTACAGGTGATTGTCGGGGTGTGAAGATAATAGCTTTTGTTTTGGCTGTGTTGATTTCAATGTGACTTTTCCACGCTTGAGCTGGGAGGGTCGTTCCCATAGGCGCTTGTCGGCGTTCCCTCGCCTGCTGCATTTTTTGGCGGAGAGTCAGCACCAGCGATCGTTGTCGTCCTCGCTAATTTAAGCGGTTGTTTGGGTTCAGCATGTGGACTCAGCGCCGGCTCCCACAGTGCCCGTCATGGTCGGTTTTGCGCGCGTTGGAGTGTCAGAAAAATCCATGCGCTCTTCTGTGTGCTGCTCACGGCAGTCTGTAACGGACGCGTCCTGTGCAAATGGAGGTCCACAAGACGCCAATTGTGTCGGCGTCGTTGATGGCCCATCAGCTTAGAAGTGTGGCAGTTTGGGCTAGTTGGTATGACATCACGATAGCTTTAGCGCGAGGTTCATTCCTCGCGCTATAACTATTCTGAGGCCCATCAGCGTTCGCTGGCATCTCGGCTGCCACTTGTCGGTGTTCCTTCGGTCGTAAGTACGCTGAAATCGATCTAACGTCCATGAACTTGGTGTCCTTGGATGCCGCTCGACTTCATGGATCAAAGGAGGTGTACCTTTCGGGCGTAGCAGGAACAAAACATGTACACTGCGGAGCCCAAGGTGAGCGTGTCTGCCCACGAGTGATTCGCATTGGCATTTAAAAAAATCACAAAAACCTCCAGGTGTTCAGAAAAATAAGTCACTCCGCTGCGGCGCAGAAAAGCACAGGGCCGTGTTTAACAACCGGATGGAATTATGGGAAAACATCCATTCGCTCCTCACTGCTTCCAGATGTTGCCAAACATCTCACCTCTATGTCCTTCCCCTATTACCTGCAAATACTCGCGGCCCTGCCGCTCCATCAGGAGACTTAGGTATTTATGGAATTAGCAGCTAAACCTCCGCGGTGACATCATGTCGCTGTTTTGATTACGCGTCTCTCCAACCCTTCTCTTGACCTTGTTGGGCATAAAACTGTTTGGATTGGAGGGGCTCCTAATAACCCCCAACCCCGCCCCGCCGCGGTGGTCTAGTGGCTAAGGTACTCGGCTGCTGACCCGCAGGTCGCGGGTTCGATTCCCGGCTGCTGCGGCTGCATTTACGATGGAGGCGGAAATGTTGTAGGCCTGTGTACTCAGATTTGGGTGCACGTTAAAGAACCCCAGGTGGTCAAAATTTCCGGAGCCCTCCACTACGGCGTCTCTCATAATCAAATGGTGGTTTTGGGACGTTAAACCCCACAAATCAATCAATCAAATCAATCAATAACCCACAACCTATTGTCGTTTAGTCTGAGCCCCACCCTCCCCTCTTCCGAAGAAGGCATGTGAGGGAGGAGGCGAGAAAACCAGGCAATGGTGGAGTGTTTATCAAAGGACATTGAGGAATTAGGAGGAGAGTGTGAGATAATCATACTAGGAGATATGAATGTGCGCAGAGATAGATGGGTATACTGACCCAACAGGCAAAATTATCATGGATATGTGTGAAAGGCGTGATTTGATCATTTGCAACAGTACTGAGAAGTGTGAAGGGCAAATAACATGGGAGGTAGGAAGGCTGCAGTCGACGATATATTACACACTGATGTCCCATAAGATGTATGATAGGCTCAGGGTAATGTACATAGATGAATGTGGATCCCGAAGTCTGGGTAGTGATCACAAACGTATCAAGCTAAGTTTTCGAAGAGCAGTGCAAGTAGGAAGGAGACAAGATGAGCAACTACAAGAAAATGTTTATTCAGAAAGGCAAATAGAAATAGCTACTAAACAAATTGAGAAAGTAATCACTAAGGATAATAAAAATAGTGTGGACATACACAAATCTAATTCGACTGTTTGAGCTAGAGCTTGCTAAGACACGTGACAAGTCACCCCGAAAAAGAAGACACAGACCCAAGAGTTGGTGGGATGAGGAAGTTAAGAGAACCATAGCGAAACGTCAGGAAGCCTCTAGGGAACACAGACATTCTAAGCAGCGGGGTGAACCGACAGATGATGTTGGAAGAAAATGGGACATCTTTCTAAGCTGCAGAAGGGAATCATTCCTCCTGATCAATGAAAAGATTAGAAGAAAGGGGGCTCAGTGGCTGGCAGAAGTACATAAAAAGGGTAGAAAGGTAGGTGCGAAATTTTGGAACCATCTAAACTCCCTAAGAAATGAGACAAGCCTAGAGCAGAAGTTTGTAACTATAGCTCAAGATGCCAAGCTAGAAGGGGACGAAGCTATTGATTATATAAGAACAAGGGGGACAGAAAAATTTCAACAAACAAGTGCCTTATGCGCCATAATAGACAAGGATGGACCAAGTGGCGCAATGGCTCCGTTTTCACAACGAGAGTGGGAAAGGGCTGAGAAGAGGGTTCCAAGTAGTACATCAACTGGCTCAGATGGCATTCCCAATTATGCTGATAAAGACATTGGGTCTGAAGTCTAAACAGACTATGAGAGAGGCAGTGAGCAGAACAACAATCGATGGTGAAGTCCCCGGTGGATGGAAACTTAGCAGGATGAGCATGATCTATAAAGGCAAGGGGGACAAAGCTGACATAAACAACTATTGTCCTATAACAGTGACTTCAGTGGTCTACAGGCTGGCGATGCAGATTATAAAGAAAAGACTGCAGGCATGGATAGAGGTTGAGGGGGTGCTGGGGTAACTGAAGAATGGGTTTCGGAAACACAGGAGGTTGGAAGACAATCTGTTCTCACTGACGCAGTGCATTGAAATAGCAGAAAAGGAACTCAGGCCCACGTGGCTAGCATTTTTGGATATCAAGGGAGCGTACGATAGCGTGGTTCAAAAGGACTTGTGGTGAGTACTGGACACACTAGGTGTGTAAGATGGAGTCACTAAGATTTTAAAGGAAATCTATAAAAGTAACAAGGTAGTTATAAAGTGGGAGAAACGGGTATCCTAGCCCACAGAGTTGAAACGGGGGCTGAGGCAGGGGTGTCCTCTGTCACCCTTGTTATTCATGACGTACCTACAAAGATTAGAGGCCAAATTAGAGGGAAGTGGACTTGGCTTCAATTTCTCTTTCGTCAAACAAAGAAAACTCATTGATCCGTCACTATCAGCATTAATGTACACAGATGATATAGTGCTAATGGCCGACAACAAAGAAGATTTGCAGAGATTGATGGACATCTGCGGTAATGGGGGAGATAGGTTAGATTTCAAATTCAGTAAAGAAAAATCAGCAGTGATGATTTTTAATGATAATGAAGGTGGTGAGCTTAGGATACAGGATGTCACGCTAGAGATAACAGATAAATACAAATATCTGGGCGGATGGATAAGCAATGGGACCGAGTACCTAAGGGAACACGAAATATACGTGACGACTAAAGGTAACAGGAATGCAGGAGTGATGAAAAATAGGGCACTGTGGAATTACAATAGGTATGATGTTGTGAGAGGAATGTGGAAAGGGGTCATGGTTCCTGGGCTGACGTTCGGCAATGCGGTCTTGTGTATGAGATGAGAAGTTCAAGCAAGATTAGAAATTGAGCAACGTGGAATAGGTAGGCTTTCTTTAGGAGCTCACGGGAATACACCAAATCAGGGAGTACAAGGTGATATGGGATGGACATCATTTGAGGGCAGGGAAGCTAGCAGCAAAATAAAATTTGAGAAGCGATTGAGAGAAATGGGGAAGGAGCGTTGGGCTAGGAAGGTATTCAGCTACCTGTATATGAAGAATGTCGATACAAAATGGAGGAAGCGAACCGGAAAATTGACGGGTAAATACTTGGGAAATAGCAGGGGGCCAAACCAAAAAGAACTATCGGTTAAGAAGAAGGTGAAGGAAACGGAGACTGACATGTGGAGAATTGGCATGAATAAGAAGTCCGCACTATAGATCTTTTGAACTTTTACGCAGGAAATTGCCAAGGAAAGGATCTATGATAATACTCGGGGTAGTAATCTACTGTCTGAGGCCAGGACGGGAGTATTGCGAACCAAGACTTATCGTGCCAAATACGACAGGGTAGACACGGTATGCAATGCATGCGGAGAGGAGGAGGAAAATGCCGAACACTTGATAATGTTCTGTGAAGGGCTTCACCCTATAGTTCAGGATGGTGGCCCAGAGTTTTTCAAAGCACTGGGGTTTAGGGACAGGGAGGGCTAAATAGACTTTAAGCGGGTAGAATGAACTAGAAGGAGGTTATCTGATTGGTGGCTTAAGTCAAGGCACGTGTGAAAATTAAGCCATTCACTGCAAAGTACCATTCCTCAACTCCACTATTTAAAGGAAAAAAAAGATAAATCTAGTTGTTGGCTCACTAAGTATTACAGCTAAGTGGTGTTAGCCGCCTCCTTATCTAAAGGGTACAGCCACATCAATCCATCCATCCAGAGAGGAACACTGTTGCACCTCAAATCTCTGCATCCTGTTGCATGCGGTTCAAGGCTGTGACCATCCAGCAACGTCAGTCAAGGCTTCAAGTTCGGATGCTTCGCAGCTTTCCTACAGGGCTCCGCCTAGTCTCCGTGCTTGTGGCTTTTTGCACTATATGATTAACTTATCTTAGTTCTTTTTCTTTCCTTTTTTGAGCTTCGTTTGTCATAAAGAAAAGAACATGCTATACTTTAGACAAAAGTAATTATGAAAGTAGCGAGTAATTTACCTGAACTTCGCACTTCAATTAAGTATTTACATGTCTAAATTACTAGCCTACAAACGTAGTTTGGTGCAATACTGATAACTATAAAAATATATACTGTAATTTGAATACTGGAAAATTAGTCGGTAAGGGGTCCTTGAGAGTTGCTCAATTTTGTGAGGTCATTCACTTTTTCGCCGGTATTATTGGTAGTGCTTGTAAGGTAGGCAAAATATTCTTGAATTCTAGCAATGTTTTCGATGTTCTTTGGAGCAAAACAAAAAGGAATTTCTAATTTAGAAATAATTGCTTGTCTCATCATGTCTTGGATTTGTGACTTATAACTGGCTGCACCCAGTATACATAGCAATCAGATGATGACATTCCAATCATACTGCGGTCTTTTCTAGTGTTCCCTGGCCCCCATGTTCTTTCTTATTTTGTGCGATGCCCCAGTCAATGTTCACCCCGATGTGTTTGCTGATGATTGGTGCCGTCTTTTGCCAGATAATCGCCGATCAATTTGCACTTAATGCTGTCTTTGATAATATTGTGGAACGAAGTAATAAATATACAGTAAAATACCAAGTAAGTATTCCTTCTACGGTAAATAAATATCTGACAAGTATCGGAGGTGTGCTTGGTAAGAAGCAAAATTCTCGATTGCGAAGGAAGAGCCGCTAAGATTAAAGAATGCACACCAATGCTTCTAACTACAGGCTTCATTGAATACGCGTACATTCACTGTTTTCATTCGTTCTCGTTGAGCGAATCAAAACTGTCAATGTAACAGTGAAAGTGGCGGGAAGTGATGAAAGGAGGAGGGGCATATTTTACATTAAAAAAAAATAGAGGGAAGCGCTTGCTCGAGTAGGGGCGCTTGCTCTGGATTCAACTCAACAGTGACGAATATATGATCTAAATGCATCGCTGACAAAAAAGAAAATCAGCAAAAATGTATCAGTGGAGCAGACCCACCCAACGAGTGTAGCAGAATTAAGATAATTAACTACCCATACTTGAAGAGCCATCTCAGCAACATCACCCGTTATGCCTTTAAAATGATAATACGTCTTCTTTTGCACGACGCACTTGGCAAAGATTATCTTTATGAATTAGCTCACACAATCCTCGTTCGACCAAGATTGGAATAATCTTGTGTTATTTAGTCGTCATCCCCCGAGAGTATTCAATGAGTGAGTACATGTGTAAGAGCCCTTCGTTTTATTCTTTTGAAATACAGCCACGAGGAGTCCGTGGTGAATTTATTACGCTTGGATGGATTTCACATCTTTCAAACTGTAGGTATTGAAACGTATGCTTTACCTAGATCTCGAAGATATAGCTCACTTTCTTCATCCTGCCAAACTCTTATTTCCCACTCTGTTATACTTTCTTACCTTATATTGCCAAAACCTCAAGTTGCTTTATTATTACCACAGCGATAGCAGAATGAAGGAACATGGGAGGTCCTAATCATTATCTGGCTACCCCTATAAAATCGCGTGAAACTTGTATTATAATTTTTCCTGCTACAGATTGAGTTGTTATTCCATGCCTTTTCATGACTTCCTTATCACATTATTGGCTGGCATTATATACCAGCGGAATTCACTGCACTTTGCATCCCTGCCACTCTATGCTTCAGCACATGCTCTTTGAATTGTTGCAACGACATGACCGCGAAGAATGCCTCGTCTTTCGCAATCTATTATAGCCCCCCAAAAGGCGCGTCGTTAAGTGTGCTCGAAGCAGTCCAGCATCTGCAGGATGTGCGAATAGAGGCTATGGAGGCACGCATCAATTCCTGTAGTCTAGAAACGGCGTGTTTGATTTGTGAGATACAACATTTAAATAATATTCAGTGCGAATGATTAACGTTGTGAGCGAAAGAGCCATTGGACACGCTCACCGGTGACTTGGCCATGGGTCCCTCCACTGTGCGGTGCACGTGCGCCTGCCGCCTCCCACTCTTATATGAGGTGACGACGTGAAAGAAACGGCACACATGTCCTTTTTCCCGTAGCAGAAGGAAGTGTTGAAAGGCGTGCGCGACGTCTCCGCCTCGTACGGCAATGCTCCGAGCACATCTCGCTTTCGAGACACTGCGCCCGCTCAGGTGTGGAGTGCCGCTACTGTGACTGCACGCCCGGACGACGCCTGTCCCCCGAAATAAGCTGCCCGCCGTCGCGCTTCTTCGCGCGTCCTGGGAGTTGCGGACACGATTCTGGTTCGCTGCCTCTGGCGTTCGACTTGTGCTGAAGCGGCCCCGTACTTGCTCATTTTAGCCACGAGTTGAAATACACGGCACCGGTGAAAAGATATGCGAAAATTTTCATGGCGTTGCTCTTACGACAAGCTCCTGTGGCTAAATATTTCAGGCACGGAAGTCATTGTTAGCACAGGCGTGAGCAAGGCTCTCCGTTACGGAAAAGGGGAGGGGAGTCACCCTTGTCGATGGAGCCTGAAAGTACTTCGCAGGGGATGAAAAACGAAAATAATTGATGGGAGTGCTTCTGTCACCGGCTTCGAATGTTCTTGATCAGTTGTCCTGGATCCCCATTATCTTCAGAGAAAAAAAAAGGAAGAAAAAGTCTCCACAGCCGCACGCTTTCAAAAATTACGTGAAAGGCCCAACGCAACGAAGGTGTGGGGAAAAATTGCCCCCCCCCTCCTCTTTTTTTAGATGCTCCCCTCCCCCATCGTACGTGCGCACGCTTGTGGTTAGTGAATAATCCCACACATAACTACATCTTCTTGGGAGAATTTATTGTGCACTACGCATATGTGGTCAAGATGCGTCAACTCACCGAAGTCACTGTACAGCTCCATTGCTGACGTTACAAACCAATCGACTGCCTGGGGAAAGCATATGGGCGCTGTTAACTGAGGCTGCAAGAATGAATAACACATTTCCATAGCACGCGTCGCAGATAATTTTGGGAAGTGTGCGCAGTCACGTAAAGCACTTAGGGAAAAGGCCGGAAGTGTTTCATATTTATTTACTATTTTATTCGTATCATTGGTGATCAAGGAGTCTCTGAAATGCAGGACAAAAAAAAAAAAAAAACGTTTGCAGGGGCATAGCCAGACTTTGTTTCTTGTTTTTTTTTGGAGGGGTGGGGGAGGAGTTTCAACTAAACTTTACGCTGTTTGCGTCAGAGTTTGAATGGTTGCATGCGTATATACAGATGCAAAATTGGAAAAGTTCGGGGAGGGGGGAGGGTGGTTCTTGCTTAATATGGGCCACGCGTTGGGATGCAGAGCGATATAGATCTAATGGCATGCTACCAAAGGTGATGATATGTGAAAAAAAAAAAAAACGAGAACGCGATCCGGTCACTGTTGGCGAACATGAGTGCTTGTTTTGTTCGTGACTAAATGACTTGCTTACTTGTCCATTCGAAATTCCCGCGCGTGAAACTGACCGATCACATAAAAAAATGTTTTAAATTTTTTGTTGTTTTTGTAAACAGTAGTGAAATTTTGGGTGATGGAGACAGAAAAATGCGACGAGAAAATAATTTGTGACAGCAGCCTTGCGACTGAGCAGGTGGCGCATCGGCTCTTTTCGTGTTCTTTGGCCTCGATTTGATCTCGGCGGGCTGTCCGCCATATTTCTATGTTGTGCGGCGTCCGACGCTCCTGAACATTCAAAATTCCGAAGAAGTACTAGTTCTCCCTGCGCTGTGATGTCGTCGTTCGCGAAACCATTCACGCACTAGCCGGTACGTTTGTGATTTTATGTTGAGACGAGCTCTAGTCAACTGTTGTGAAGCACAGCCGTCTGAAGCGCAGCCAGATTACTGAATAAATCCGCATTTTTCAGTCCGGCGCCCGATGCCACACCAAAGCCGGTGTGCTGTGTGACGTCTTTAAAGTGCAAGGGCGACTTTTTTACCAACTTTCCGAAAGATTCTGCGAATGGTCCGTGTGGCTCCGATTCTCGCGCTTTCCCTGAGTGTGTATTTATGCGCTGAATTGGCGTTTTACGCCTTGCAAGTGTCGTCGAGGTGCCGAAGGACTCTGTCTAAGGCCAGCCTGCTAGCCCTAACGTCCGTAAGTTAACATGTGCTTTTCAGTCGGTTTCTAAGCCTCTCTGAATGTCGATTCATTCAACGGTGTTAACCTTCAAAACAGGGTGGTGAAGTGCAACACTTGCGGCTGTGACCCTTTGCAATGCACAATTTTGCTGCTCTGTTATCGTGAACATACTTGTTTAAGCAGTAATACTTCCGATTGGAAACCCCGATAGTTTTCTTTGTATGCTAATTCTTGGTGTTAATCGACTTTAATTAGTGAATAAAATCTGGCCGTTGTGTAGGCGATCACATTCGTGCAGTGATGTAGTGTAAGATCTTTTTTGGGTATAATATGCTCGTGGGTGTGGGTTCGTCGGGCTGCGTTGTAATGAGTGCGCGTGCCACGCCGGTCACGTTTCCGCGATTTGTCTCCTTTTTCTAACATGTCGCTGAAATCGCTATGAATACGCTGCCTTATTTTGCACTCTGGTGTCTTCGCCAACCGAAATGCACTGTAAGCGTCCCGAATAAGCGCCCCTAGTGTGACCTGTTGCAGTGTTTGCCGGCTCGAGCGTCTGATACAGTCCCGTGTACCTAACCGTTTTGTCCCAACCCTGCACCCCTCCATTGCTTCTGCTTTTTTTTTTTTTGTTCTCATTTAAACCTTTCTGTACCCACCGCACGTTTGCATGTGGTCATTTGCTGAGTAGCAGCTTTTATTTAATCGACCGCCGTTGTGAAAAGCTCATCCAACGCCCTTGCTTACCCTGCTGATATTCTCCCCTGCAGGAACGCTTGCCTCAAGATCTCCACTAACCTGCTGTTTCTACAGATTGGTATGTTTTTGCTCCATTGATTGCTGCCACCCTTGAGATAGTTCTTTGTTCATTGTTGACCTTTTATGGAAGCAGTTGAAGCTTTTTGTTTAGCTGAGCTTTCGTTTATTCCTTCCTTTAACTCATTCTAGCTCTATTTTTTGCTTTTAACTTTGTGTCTTTTAGCCATTGTTATGAAAATAATGCAATTCTCAAAGAATTCGGAATGGTTGAGTGTGGCCCTGTGATACTTTTGTTTTAGCGTGTTCAGCGTGACATAATGCTTGCCATTACGTAGCAGTTCTAATATATGTGTAAAAGTGTACTGTGTGAATGTGTTTTTGGTGCTACCTCAAACACTCAAGGACACAAGCCACACAGTATGATCATTATCGTGTTTGATGAACCTGCATGACTAATGTTGAGCTTGTGAATGCTTGTATGTTTTCATATAAAGATTTTAAAATTTATTATTTTGTGAGGAGTAAAAATGGTTACAGCTCCTTTGTGTGTGTGTGTGTGTCAGACCAGTTAGAGATAGCATATTTTTGAGGCACGTTATGTTCTAATGATATCCTTCATTATTGAACTGATTGTTAGAAACAGTGCTTGTGTCGAATAGTAAGATAACTTGGATGGCTCATATGATTTGTAATGCATGCGGTACCGTGTACATTGGTATAGTTGCTTGCTATCCCTAAATGTCAGACATAAATTGCATGCCGTAGAGCTGTTGTGCTTGGTCACACACATTTGTTCGGGCTTTCATTTGCTGCTTAAAAAGTTTTCTGATGTTTGTTTATTGTAATTGTTCACGTCATTTGTATATCAATTGTATTCATATATATTTTACAGCCTTGGCAGTATTTCACATGACAACTTAAAAGGAAAAGTTTGCCTGTTCCCCCGAGTCGAATATTGGGCAGTCTACATTTTCATTTAACATAACATAACATTACTTTCCTTAAAGTCCCCTCGAGGGGTTACCTATTACATAAGGAGTAGGTTAACATATAAAACATTTTTTTTATTGCCACAAGTTTTTATCTTGAAAAATGAGCACATAATCTATCAAAAAATGATGGCTATTTATTGGTGACGACATCATGGGGAAGGTCATTCCAGTCTTTTGCTGTTTATACAAAGAAGGACATAAAAAAGTCGTCATAATCCGTGGCCGGTAACTTGAAATGAATGTTATGTGTGGTGAGATATGCAAGCCGGTGGAGCGATGTAGAGATGACTAAATGTGCGGTGAAAAAACTGAGGCTAGAGATGTGGTGGCAGATGTTGGGGATTCAAATAGATGATTCTTTTTTTGAGTGATAGTACACTGGTATTGTATGAGCACGAAGAATGAATGAACCTGATGGCACGGCTTTGAACTTCCTCGAGTTAGTCGATCAGATAGGGTTGGTGTGGGCTCCAGACTGCAGATGCGTATTCCAATTTGGACCAGATAAGGACTTGTAGGCGTGTATCTTGACAGTCTTAGGCGCCTGCCGGAGGTGACGTTTCAGGAAACCTAGGGATTTGTTCTTTGATAATATGTCAGTAATATGCACGTGCCAGTTCAGTTCATTACATATGGTAGCACTGATATACTTGTATGGCTGCACGTGTTCGAGGGTAACGCTAGCAATTGCATAAAGGAACAGACAGGAGGAGAGAAGTGAAGCTAGGTCGTTCATGTAAATCGGGAAGAGAAGGGACCTGAGAACACAGCCTTGAGGGACACCTGGTACTACTGAAACGAGACTAGAGTGTAATTCATAGATGGAGACAAATTGCGAGCGGTTAATCATTTTTCAATTCAATTTACTATGTCAGGATGTATATTTAAAGATGTAAGTTTCATTAGGAGTCGCATATGAGGCACTATGTTGAACGCTTCCAAGAAATCTAAAAATGTTGCGTCCCTCTGCAGATTAGTGCCAAGATTGGCATGTAAATCCTAAACAAAGAGGGCCAATTGGGTTTTGCCAGAGTAACTTGTACAAAACCTATGCTCTGTGGGGTAGAAGTTATTGCCATCAAGAAAATGAATGATTTGTGAAAAGATGCCATGTTCCATAATTTTACAGGGTATGCTTGTTAAAAAAATGGGGTGATAGTTTAGAAGGCTGTTTTTGTTACCTGATTTGAAGACCTGAGGGACCTTCTCCAGTCAGCTGGTAAGTGGTCGGTGTGAAGTCACTGAGAATATCAGTGGCAGAATCACTGAAAAAATGCATTTAGTGTTTTTAAGAATTTTGGAATTTGGTCCACAACTGCTAAAGAAGATGGTTTCAATTTTTCAATGACACATTATATCTTCTGGGAAAATTGTTATATGCTTCTTAGAAGTGCAGGACACAATTTGATAATGCAGGGAATGGCATAGGGGTTTCGTGGGTAAACAAAGATGAAAAGGCTGTATTGAATAGCTCAATGCTGTCAGAATTACCAATATCGTTGCCCACTTCACTTTTCGGTGTAATGCTGTGCGTTTCCTGCGGATTATTTTCCGAAATTTTTGGTGGTTAATAATAAAATTGTTAAGCATTAGAGAACAGCTTTTCTCTATTATGTGTTGCCTTTCTCAACAGGCTACTATTCTCTCTAAATTGTGCTCCCGTCTGTTGGATTCACTTTGGTATCTTTTTCTTTAGAATTCTGCAAATGCGAAGCTTCACTCAAAGACTGAATGTATCGGAGGCTTTTCAAATTGCACAGTGTGACATCTCGCACGTTGCAACTATCGGATTAACATGGTTCCAAAATCAGTTTTGCAAGTTTCAACTATGGGCTGGAGCAAATCACACAGTAGTGTCCTGCTCTTTTTCTCCACGAATGTTTGTAGTTTTGTTTTTTAACTTGCTGTTATGGAGTTGCAGTATTGGTTTAGAACCAAGTGGACTGTATTGATTTGACAAAAGTGTATTGTAGACAGACAGATGAACTTTATTTGCTTCCTGGGAAGAAGGTTGCTAAGAACCCACCGAGGGCTGCACCTGCGACGGGGCCAGGAACCAAAGGTTCCCGATCGCTTCACAGGCTCCCTGGACTGCCCGGAGTTGTTTCGCAAGTTGTGGACTTGCGATACACTCTAAAAAGTGCCTCCCTTACGTGATGCCTTCTTGTTAAAATGCGCAAGCGGGGGCGCCGCCACATCAAATGGGGGAAGGTGGCGAGCCGATTGCATTCAGAGCAGTTAGGAGAAATGTCCGCATAGTGGCTGGTGATGAAAAGGATCCAGTTTGAAAAAGTCGAAGGGCTATCTGCTGTTTCCTTGTTAGCTCTCTGTGCGGATCTGGAAAGGATTTCCTACCTAAATGGTAGGGCGAACAAAACTCGTGAAAGGTGGTCAACGGGTCCCCATCAGCGCCATCACCATTCCCCTCCCCCTCAGTATGAGGGAGGCTCGTTAGCCCGGGGCGGCGAATGAGTCCTCGCGACCTAGTGCGAGCCATTTCATTGGGGTTGGTGATGCAGTAAACGGAGACACCCATGTGGGCGGGAAACCACGTCAACTCGTAAGGAAGTACTGCGCCGTTCATGAGAATTCTGTAAGCAGCCAGAGATTTGGTTGTTGTCAAAGGACCTGATGGCCGTCATGGAATCGGAAAAAATAGCAGACAGATCTCTGGTCGTCAGCGCTAGAGAAGTAATGACCTGTTCAGCTACCCCGATGGACTTCGTCCTCACCAAGGCGGCATTAACGGTACGGTCGCTCATGTCTACCACTGCGGCCTCAAAACTATTTAGTCCCGACCGAGATGTGTCTACGAAGAGGCGTTTTTGCTTCTGCTATTTAAATTAGAGAGGAGGGCTTTAGCCCTCACTCTTTTTCTACCCTGATTATGTACCGGATGCATGTTTCATGGTAGTGGAGGAATCATTATTGTCAACCTTACAGTGTCTGGAAAAGAACCTGCTCTCTCTTTAGTCAGAGGAGAGGTGGTACCTGGTCTGGATAAAATTGCCTTGCCGGCTCCAGTGCACGAAAGTCTGGAAATCTGGGCAGTGCGCTGCGCTTCGATCAATTAGTCAAGCTTGTTATGAACACCGAACTCAGAGTTTCATGGTACTCGTTCAAGAAGGGAGGCCCGAAGCTTTTTTGACAGTTTGTCGAATCAAGACTTCTAGTTTGGCCTTTTCGGCAGTAGTCCAAGCGTGCATAGAGACAATTTAATTGATATGACTTAAAAAGAATGCATGGAATCGCCGGAGGAGGTTGTCCTCTTTGATTCCCCCTCGTCTACCTGAGATCCTTTGCATAAGCTGAACGGTGGCAGCAGTCTGCTGTTGCAGCTTCTGTATCGTAGCTGCATTCCTGCCGTTCTCAGAGATGAACATGCCTAGTATGCCTATAGTGTCTTTGCGGGGGATTTCCACACCACTCTTTGTGAACAGGTGTATGCCGATCTCCGGGGTCGGTACCCATCCTTTGGGGCATCGCCCCCTGCAAATGGGTCAGTAAACAAGGAGCTCGGACTTGTTGTCTGATAGCGCGAGGTTCATACGAGAAATGTGTACAGATTTTTGGAGCGTACTCTCTGTGTGGCCCACCGAGCCACCCCGGGACCAAAGGTTGATGTCGTCGGCATAGATAGCGGAGCCGGTGTCGTTGTTATATAGATGCCTAGCTAGAGCGGTCATACCTATGTTAAAAAGAAGGGGCGAGATCACTGCCCCTTGAGGAGTGCCTGTGTTTTCCTAGATGAAACTTACTGATTTCATCTCCCTTAACTTTATGGTGGCGGTTCTATCTGACAGTAACTGCCTTAGAAAATTAAAGAAATGCCTACCGAGGCCCAGCTCGGAGATGGCTTCGAGGATGTGATCATGGAGTATGGTATCGAACGCCTTTTCGAGATCCAGAGCCAAAATGACTTTGGGATCTCTGGTAGAGGCGCCGATGACCTGGAATTTGATGAGAAGCATGGCATTTTGCATTGAAAAATGTGGGCGAAAGCCAACCATGTTAGATGGGAAGAGGTCATTGCGCTCCATGTACCTAGAGACCCTATCGTTTATGA